AGGAGGAGGAGAGGTGGAGGTGGAGGTGGAGGTGGAGGAGGAGGAGAGGAGGAAGAGGCGGAGGAGGAGGAGGAGGAGGAGGAGGAGGAGGAGGAGGAGGGTCGACGGCCGACGTGGCCCTCTCCAGGTGGGCCCGCGCCTGGTGGCCGCGAGGCGTCGGGCCCCCTGAAGGATGCGGTCGGCCTCGTCAGTCCAGTCACCTTCGAGCTCAGGGTTGGAGGCGGGGGGGCCTCCTCCCCTGCCGGGGCCGCATCAGCTAACACTTACCAGCCTCGAACGTACCCCTACCCCTAAGATTGGCACGCCAAAAGGCGATGACAATCTTAGGGATTCGCCCTCAAAAATAAGGGAATCCCTAAGATTGGCATCGTGATGAGGAGGTGCCCAGCATAGGCATAGGCACATGTCCCAGGCCGGTGAAACACGGGGCTTGGAGTTGGCCGCCTCGACGCGACCTGCCGAAGCGAATCGCGCAGGCGGGTCACTCGCGTGCCCAGGGCCACCCAGGAGGCCACCCTGCACCTGGCGGGGAGCACCGACCCCGAAGGCTCGAGCCAGCGCGGCGCGCCCGCGGACGCCTCACCTCCTGCGCCCAGCCAGAAGCCGCCCTGCCGCCCTGCCTTCTGCCTGCCTTCTGCCCCCTCGGCGCCGGCCGCTCGGGCGGCGCGCGCCCGAGCGGCACCTCTGCGCGGCGCCGCCCGCGCGGTGCGCCGAGCCAGCCCTGCCCGCGGCTGCCGCGCCGAGGCCTTCCCCAGGGGGAGGAGGAGGGGAGGAGGAGGGGAGGAGGAGGAGGAGGGAGGAGGAGGGAGGAGGGAGGAAGGAGGAGGAGGAGGCGGAGGAGGAGGAGGATTTGGATGATGATGATGTGATGATGATGATGATTGATGATGATGATGATGATGAGGAGGAGGAGGAGGAGGAGGAGGAGGAGGAGGACCAGTGTGAAACCAAGAGTCATCAACGATGTTGGAATTAACCCTCCCTCCAAGCTCCTTCTTCATATGCCCCTACAACGGTTCATTTCCATTGAGGGAACTGCCTCATTGAAAGACAACTGGCCCTCCGCTGCGCCGCGCCGCGCCACTGCCGCGCCGCGGCGCCGCTCGGCAGCGCCGGCCGCTGGGCGCGGGCGGCTCCTGCACTCCGAGGGCCTGAGAGCTCCCCGCCAGCCTGCCCCATCTGCCGCCCTGCCGCCCCGTCAGCCAGTCGCCCGTGGTCGTGGGGCCCAGCATCCTCCCCCACAGCTGCACGGTCTGGACACTGCTCTTGACTCTCCCCTGGCGGCGTCCGGTGAATACCCGGCCCCCCTCCGCGTACTGGCCCTTTACACACAAGATTCCCGGGAGACGGGTTTTCGCTTGGGATTTGCTTCAAAATGCTGCTCTCGCTGAAGCGCTGGCCTCATTTTCGGGCTACCGCTAGCTCCGAATCGTGCTCCCGCTGCAGCGCTCGCCTCATTTCCGCGCTTCCGCTCGTTCCGAATCGTGCTCCCGTTGCAACGCTGGCGTCGGTATTTCCAGCGCCATGCAACGGCATGATTTTCGGTCCTTTCAGATAGGCCCCAAAATCTAGAAAATGCCCCCCCCCCCCCCAAAAAAAAAACATCGGATGTGATTACACATTCGGTGTTGATACGTTGATAGTTGGGGCCGCGGAACCCCCCCGCTTTGGGGCGTCGACACGCCATGCTATGTCATGCTACGCGTTGATCTTCAACGCCATGCTATGCCATGTAATGCTATGCCTTGCTGCGGCATCCGATTGTGCGAATAGATAGAAAGAAGATCTACGCCATGGTAAGGGATGGGATGGAGGGGCAGGACGTCAGATATGACGCAAGCGCACCTAGCTTGCCCTCTCCCCCTCCCTCTCCTCCTCATCTTCCTCCTCCTCCTCCGCCTCCTCCTCCTCCTCCTCCGCCTCCTCCTCCTCCTCCTCTTCCTCCTCTTCCTCCTCCTCTTCCCTGCGGCATTCCTCAACCACACCTGCCCTTCTTCCGTCACCGCCGCGCCTGCACGACGAAATCGGCGCCGGACATGGCGCTGGACATGGCAGCCAAGTTTCGCGTGCGCGAGCCTTCGGACCCCCTGGGGTACATGTACTGTGGCAGTCCTTTCTGAGGTGACCTCCCCCCTCTTTCCTCCGCGCTCGCCCTAACTAGGGGTAAACGTCGCGCGCCGCAGTTGGAGGAAGAGGTGGGGGAGGAGGAGAATGAGGAGGGGGAGAATGAGACTGAGGAGGACGACGAGGATCAGGCAGAGGAGCAGAACAGTTCCCGTGCAGCGGGAATTCCCGTCCAATCAGAGGAGTTGCGGCACTAGAGCTAGCACTATTACTTCTACTGCTGCTATTTCTGTCACGGCCACGCCTACTGCTACAACAACGACTACTTCGCCTCCTTCCGCTGTGAATATTCATGCCTACAGCCTTGAACAGAAAACGGCGCCCGAGTAGGTGCGGACCCAGCGAAGACTGTGAAAAAACGATGGGCCTGGCGCGACCACAACCAGGGCTACTCCTTGAGCTGGGGCGCAAGATGAAGTCAATCAGAAACGAGAAACATGTAACACTGATAACAAACTGAAGATTGGTACAATATCAAAATATACGATAATAAAGGACGCACGGTGTCTCAGACTCTGGCGCTACGTTGCGTTATGTTGGCGTACGTTGTTGCCGCGATTTGCCGTTCAATGCAAAGTATTGCCACTGCATCGCCTTGCAGTGCAGTCTCTTCCCTGATGCTGTGTCTTGCTGGATGTCACTCTCAGTTGATGCAACTTGTTTGCGAAGGAGGGCGAATGATGAAAGGGTATCGCGGGCTGACCCTAACGGAAGAAATACCTATATACCCTGCAGGCGTGATGCATGCATCAAGCCTGTCAGCACACAGACTACACGCCAAAGTGACTGTGTGCGTTTCGAGGTCCGACCGTGACGTTCCAGAGAACCAGTGCAAACAGAGTCAGATGGGATTTCGTGCGCTCCCAGGGGCGGAGGAGGAAGAAGAGGAGGAGGAGGAGCGTGAAAGAAGGAGGAGGAGGGGAAAAAGGAGGAAGAGGAGAAGAAAGAGGAGGAGGAGAAGTGGAAGGAGGGGGGGAAGAGGAGGAGGAGGAGGGAAAAAAAAATGTCGCTCACCCAGGGGGCCTCGAACGCGCGCGCGCGGCGGGGCCGGCGCGCGCTGACGCGGCACCCCGCGGGCTGCAGCAGGGGCGGCGCGGCCGAGCGGAGGGCCGGCGGAGGCACCCGCAGGGCCCGCGCCTGCTCTTCGCCCACGCCGGCATGCCGGGAACCGTGGCGCATCCTTCTCCTCCTCCTCCTCCTCCTCCTCATCCTCCTCCTCCTCCTCCTCCTCCTCCTCCTCCTCCTCCTCCTCCTGCTCTTTCTCCTCCTCTCCCCCCCGCCGCGCCGAGGGTGAGCTCCGCCTCCCTCCTCGTCGTGTCCCCTCCTGCCTCGCCCGTCCTCGATGTTCCTGCCGCTCGTCTTCGTCCGCCCCCCCAGCCGCTCGTCCTCCCCCATCGCTGCCTCGCGCCCTCCTCGCTCCGCTCCGAGATCGGCGATGAGAGCAGGAGAGGCGAGAGAGAGGTTGCGCACATCACTGTGGGAAAGGAAAAAGAGGAAGCAGGTGATACGCCGGAGTGGTTGAAGGAACAATGTTGCCTTAAAGGATGACGGGGGTGAAGAAGCGCAGATGTAGGAGGAGGCGGAGGATAGGGAGGCGAAGGAGAGGGACAGGAAAAGGGCAGAGGGGATGGGGAAGAAGGGACGGAATGGAATCGGTGGAAGAAAAAGCGCAGGGATCTCATGGAGAGAAGTAGCCAGTGGAGGAAAGAAGGAGCACTGTCGAGCTGTCATGCCTCACGTGGCCGAGCATTCATACTGCACCTCGGAAGGTAGGCTTCAACCGCCCCAGGCCCGCACCGGCCAGATCACTGAATCGCCAGCAGCAGGGAAAGCGGGCACCCAGTGTCATCGAAAGTGTCAGCTGCGGGGCCTCTTCAACCGCTTCGTGGCCTACCCTTCCCAATCCACAGCAACTTTCCTCTTCCCTTCCCCTCTCCCCTCCGCTCCTGGATGTCCCCCAGACAGAGGGAGCGACCCTATCGGGAGATACCCTCCCTTATCCGCCTCCCCATGTGTATCCTATACCGTCCCCCACCCCCTTCCTCCAACCGAGCCGCGCGGGACAGGTGCAAGCGACGCTGGTAAACTGAAAAAGCATACAAAACAAACATATTGGATACTATAAATCCAGAACTTCAACCACTCAGCGGGGGGGGGGGGGGGGGGCCGAATGTCGATTAAGAGCGACAGGCGGGTGGCATGCGGGGGGGCCATGATACCCCACTGCGCCCAGTGTACTAGAAGGAGGAGACGGGTCGATAACCCGTGCTGCGACTCCCCTGAGGAGGAGGAGGAGGAGGAGGAGGAGGAGGAGGAGGAGAATGGGAAGATCAGGCGAGACCCCTAGAAAAGAGCAAAGATTTGGCTTTCCGTTGCAACTCGCTTAAGGGATATATAGTTTGACAGAGGATGAGATGAAATGGGCTCGCCCCCTACATTTGCCCCTTTCCCTGTTTGGCTGGCTGGCTGATCAGCAGTTGGTTGATCAGTGTGTTCGGAGGTTGGCTGTCCAATTCATTTCATACTGGCAAGCTGGCTGTTCGACTGGCTGGCTTGTTGTTTGGCTGATTGGCCGGTTGCTTGCCTGGCTGGTCCGTCGGCTGGCTGTCTGGCGGGTCGGATGATTGCCAGGCTGGCTCGTTGATTACTCACTTGCCAAATCCTTAAAGATTGGCATGCGAGGGCGCAAAAAGTGCCCCATGAGTGTCCCACGAGCGTGTCAAGAGAACCTTGGAGGCGCCTAGCGTCGTGGCGGTCTCAAAGTGGGTAAACACGCGGCAGGCGAAAAAACACGACACACACACACACATTCACACACATCCAAACCGGAAACTACTAGGGCTCGGGCCTCCTCGCATCCCTCTCCTCCTACACCTCCGTCATCTCCATAACCGTCGGGCCCAAATGGGCTCGACGCTCACTCGGCAGAAAGGACTTGACCCTTCCTTCGTGGACCTTCGCTGCCCCGATACGCAAACCGAAACCCGTAGCATGTTGCCACGGAGCTCAACACGCATACTGAAAACGTAGGTATGACGCGATACGTCCGCCGAAACGTGGAGCAACACGCCTAGCCGCGCTGCGCTTCGCTGCGGGCACGTGCTACATGTCAACGCGGGCGTGTCAAGGCAGCTGAGTCGAAGACAGTCCTCCTCCACCTCCACGCCCCTCTCCTTGTAAACTACCCTCGTCCCTCTCCTCGCCACGTAGGTCCCCCCGTGCGTGCGGAAGCCGTGTGGCCTCGCCAATGACTGTGTCACCGCTCTCCGACTCTGGTGCAGGAGCCTCTGCGCCTCGGCCTGACTCAATGCAGGATGGTTGTGGCGTCTCTAGCGGTGCATGTTAAAAAACCTCTCCTCGCCACGCCCGTGTCAACATTCCCCGGTGTGCCGCGGCCCCTTCCGTCTCACCGTGCGCCCTCGTCGTCGACTCCTGGCACCCGGCCCCCACGGGCGGGCCTCGCCGCGTATCTTGAGTCTTGAGCCCTCCTCCTCACATTCCTCCTCCTCATCATCAAACTCCCCCCTCCTGCTCCCCCTCCTCCTCCTCCTCCTCCTCTTCCTCCTCCTCCTCCTCCCCCTTTCCCCTCAATTTCTTCTCCTTCTACATAGCTTCTCCCTGTCGCACCCCGGGGCCAATGTTTAGGGCGGGCCGGGCGTTTCGCCTGAGACTTCCTCACCATCTATGACTCTGGAGCTGAAAAATTGACAACAGTTTCACAGATGGAGGGCGGGTGGTTTTCAACATGTGGTACTCGCCTTAGCGCCGCGCACATTCGTCTTGCAAGAGCTTCACGGATTGAAGGCAGGTCGCTTTCACGATAGGGACCTCGCCTTAGCGCCGCGCATATTCATTTTAAAAGTCTGCAGGAGCTTAACGGATTGAGGGCGGGACGTTTTCGACATGTAGCTCTCGCCTTAGCGCCGCGCACAGTCGTTTTAGAAATTGCAAGAGCTTCACGGATTGAGGGCGGTTCCTTTTCAAAATGTGGCTCTCGTTTAGCGCCGCGCACATTCGTATTTTTTTTAACATTTGCAGAAGTTGCACTGGTTGAGGGCGGCTCCTTCTCAAAATGTGGCTCTCGCCTTAGCGCCGCGCACCTTCGTTGAAAAAAACTGCAAGAACTTCACGGATTGAGGGCTGGTGGCTTTCAAACTGTGGCTCTCGCCTTAGCGCCGCGCACAATCGTGTAAACAACATGGAAAAGTTTCACACGTTGAGGGCGGCTCCTTTTCAAAATGTGGCTCTCGCCTCAACGCCACCCACATTCGTGTTAAACATTTGCAAGAGTTCCACGGGCTCCCATGATCAACGTACCAGAAATGGCGTTTTGGAAGGATTCAGGATTATGATGGGTGCAACAGTTATGTTGATTCGCGCTGTGTTGAAGTCCCAACAATGGCGTGCTGGCACGACTCCAAATCGTCAAAACGCAGCAGTCAGGCTAATCCGTGGCGTGAAAACCCCAAGAGCAATGTTTTGGCATGCTCCAAGGTCTTCAAACGGTTTTCTTTCAACGAGGCAGTTCCCTCAATGGAAATGAACCGTTGTAGGGGCAAATGAAGAGGGAGCTTGGAGGGAGGGTTAATTCCAACATCGTTGATGACTCTTGGGTTTACACTGGTCCTCCTCCTCCTCCTCCTCATCCAAATCATCCTCCTCCTCCTCCTCCTCCTCCTCCCCTCCTCCTCCTCCTCCCTCCTCCCCTCCTCCCCCCCCCCCTCTTTCCTCCTCCTCCTCCCTCCTCTCCTCCTCCTCCTCCTCCTCCTCCTCCTCCTCCTCCTCCAGCTCCGCCTCCTCCTGATGACGGGGCCTCTAGAATCCCCCACAAACCTCCGACCGCCACTCCCAGAAATCCGCGCGCTGTCACGAGACCGAGGGGGTCGCCGAAGCCCCCCCCACCTCCGCCGCTCCCGAGCATCCGCACGGCGCCACGTGGCCCAAGGCAAGGTGGCCTCACCACCAGGCCTTGGCCCGGATGTCCGCCTCCACGTCGGCCTGAGCGCGCGGGGAGGGGCGGGTGCGCTCGTGCGGTTTCCTCGCGCGCGCCCAGCACATGTTAATTACCCACGAGCTTGCGCAACGAGCTGCCGCGGCGCACGCTTGCCCTGCTGGAGCTAGGCCGGGAGCGCGCCCAGCTTGTCCGAATCTCCAGTAGCTGCGGACGCCCATGCGATGCACCGAGGACCTGCTCCGACTAGGTACAATCTCTCACAAGTCATTCGAGAAAGGGTGGTGAATGCCGCGCGCTTCCATGATGGCCTGCAACGTGGTCCTCCACTCTTGCCGCCGATCTTCACGCCTTGCACGGGATCTTCCTTGGTCGGCGTGGAATATCAGCAGCGGCGGCACTGCTTGCGACAGGGGCGCGATCTCGCCCTCCTCGGCCCGCTGCGAGGCCTGGCCTGAGACCCAGATGGGCTCCAGCTCCCCGAGGCGCGAGCCCGGCAGCGGGTCCTCCATGAAAGAGCCCCACTTGGCTTGGCCCGTGATGTTCGATACGTCCTTGAAGCGAAAGCCTTTGTGCATGACGCACCACTGCTGGTAGGATACGTGTTCGAACCGCTCGAAAACCATCCCAGCCGATGCGGTGCGCCAACCTCCTTCCGACGGCCTGGCCGTCTCGATAAACAGATCGGATAGCATCTCCTCTGCCACGCGCAGCCGCACCCAGGGCAGGTCGGTCCACCAGGAAAACAGGCACTCCTTGATTTGCCTCCGTACCTCATCGCAGCCGTCGCCGCTGCTGCACTTGTCCAGACCTGCAAAGTGGGCACTCTCGTCGAGGAGAGCCCGGTCGTAGTCTTGGCCAGACTTTGTGTACTTGCCGAAGCTATACGTCGCCAGGGTGTCGCTAACCACGGCAGCCGTCCAGATCCTCGCTTCCTCTCGAGCTCGTATTCGGTCGAACAAGCTGGTCCATGGGCTGTCGGCGCCGCAGTCAAGCGCAGCGTCGGGACCGTCTCCTTGGTTTGCGAAAAGGAGAAGCTCGGAGTCCACCATCAGCCCATAGTCTGGAGCATCGGCCCCAAGCCCCATCATATACATAAGACCATGCCACTTCTTGTAAGCCGCAATCTTCTGATTGAAAGTGAGCCCCAGGTCGAGCTCGCTGAATCCTCGGTCGGGCTCCACGGCGACGATGGGCGTCCACACGCTTTGTGGCACCTGCGGATGCCTGCAGCGCATGCCGGCCTCGAAGAGGAGGAGATCCTGCTCGTCCGTGAAGACGACGACCACCAATAGCGCCTCCAACGCTGCGGGGCAAGCCGCGAACTGCTCCAGAAAGGACGCCAGCGCATAGTACTTGGGCGGGTGCGCCGCGATCGAGGCGCCCACGCGCGGCCGGCGTGCCCTCCTCAGGCTGCCGTCGGCGGCGGGGCTGCCGCGCTCGCAGGCGCCCTCGCGCAGGGCACCGAGCCAGGCGGCCCCAGCGGCCCTGGCGGCCTCCGCCTCCAGGGCGCGCTGCAGCGAGAGGCAGCGCCGCTCTATGGTCTGGTCCTGGCCCGTCCAGTTCTTCTGGCACGCCCTGGGGGAGCGGCGCGCCTCCTCGGACGCTGCCGGCTGGGCTGCCAGTGCCGCTCCTGGCGTGCGAACATGTGCCCTCTCGGATGGCACCAGTGCGCTCCTCAGGCCGAAAATCGGCGGCGCGCCCAGGGGGAAAGGTAGAGGGGGCGGGCATCATCAGAAGGCTCAGGAGGCCTCCGGCCTTCTGAGCAGCGCTCGAAGCCATCTCCGAAGCGACAGAGGGCCTCCCAGAAGGCTGGAGGGCTTCTGAGAAGCCCCGCCGCCTTCTGGAAAGGCCCGCCTCCGCTCACTCCCCCCCTCGGCGCGCCGCCGAGAAAAAGTCGAACCACAGCAGCACGGCACTCGTCGTCAGCAGTGGCAGGCCAAGCGCCACCCTCCTCGTCCAGCCGGGCAGAGGCGGGAGCTCCGCCGAGGCGGGCTGCCGCGCTGCGGCACCGGCGCTGCGGGCCATTCCCGCCTGCGGATCGCCTCGCACCGCTCCCCGGCGCCCATGGGACCAGGTGCCGAGGGGGCAGCGCCGCGCTCCTGGGCGCGCCCGCGGGGCCGGCGTCCAGATCCAAGATGGCTACGGACGCGGGGGAGGAGGAACAGGTGGAGGAGGGGGGGAGGAGGGAGGAGGGAGGAGGGAGAAGGGAGGAGGGAGGAGGGAGGAGGCTAGGAACAGGGAGGGGGAGGAGGGGGGAGGGAGGAGGAACGGGTGCAGGAGGGGGCGGAGGAGGAAGGGGAGGAAGAGGGGGAGGAGAGAGAGGAGGATGGCGGGTAAGAGGCGGAGCAGCAGCAGCAGCAGCAGGAGGAGGCGCTGGAGCACGCAGCCGCTCTTCGTGAATGCGAGATTGGAGAAGGTTGGGGCCAGTGTTTAGCGTGCAGTTGGGAGTGCAAACGGCTGCTTGGAGCGTGATCCTACTTAGCATGGTATGGAGGGGAACACACACACACACACACACACACACACACACACACACACACACGTAAACCACCTTTCCTTGGGGCCGAAACTTCGATGTGCCACACGTGCTGGCAAGCACGGGGGTTCACTCGCACACGGAAGAAGCAGCATCGGGTTTCGGTATGGTTCTCCCTGGGCAGCAAGTCGTGACACGGCTTCCCGATCTACAGTTTGGCATGGTGTGGTTCACACTCGGGCACGGTTGCAGGGACACTCGTTTCGGTGCCATTCACAACCTCCAACGACCCACAACTCTGAGAAGCCTCCCCCCCGTAGCAATTGCGGGTCGAGATTCCCGAAGCACCGCGAGCTGGGATCGGCAGAAAATCGCACCGTTAAGATGTGAGCACCTTGGTAAACTGCCTCTGGATGTTCGGACACTGTCTTGCGAAATATGCCCAACACTACATACCCATGCCCCATGTCGAGGCATACGTATTATACCTCAGCGATGGCGGAGTGCCAAGCCAGCATAAGTCGGGGACCTCCACCCACGCGCACACCTTACATTCCAAGGTGCATGAATCCTAACGCTGGGGAGCTCGAACGCACCAAGCAACACGCACATTCCAAAGGAATCGTTAGAAACTTCCACTCAACCCAGAGAAAGGGTTGCGATGCACGGCATGCGCGCTTCGCATCGCCAAGCGGAGGTGAGGAGACCACGTGTGAAGTGCCTGGGGGCCTCGGGAGCTGCCTAGCCTTACCAACGCAAAAGGTTGCGCGTCTAAAGGGCGTGCGAAAACACATCCGAAGAGGTGGCGTCGCGGCTCCTCTTATTTTTGGGGGGGAGGGGGAAGAAGAGGCGAAAGGGAAGGCACGATGAACACCCAGCCGATCCATTCGTAAATCTGTCCACCGCAGGTGTCCACAATAGAGCCTGGAACGAATAGAATTCGTCCTTACCCGGAGCGGCGCTTGGGGGAGAAGGGAAGGATGCGAAGGATGGGAAGGAGGCGGCATCGCGACTCCATCATTACAGCTGGTACCTCGCACTGCTGCAAAACATGCATGTCTGGAGCGGGTCGTAGCAGTGATCGGGGACCGCCGGTCGGGTGTCACAGCCAAGCATGACGCCGCGGGCGCCCTCGGTTCTAGAGGCAAGAGGAAGCGGGGGCACCGGCCCTGCGCGGCACGCCCACACCTCTGGGACACAGCTCTGTTAGGGACGCAGGCATCAGTCAGGCCCTGGGCGATGCCAGAGAAGACAACATTAGCTATGGGCGTTGAGCCTGGGGCCTTGGGCTACGCCTCGGGACGTGGGCTATGCCTTGAGGGTGAACGTGATCTCGGCGAGTACACGGGCGGGTGTCTTGAAAAGCCTGCCGTCCTGGCAGGCCTTGGTAACGTGGTGAAGCAAGTGCAAACGAATCCCTCGTTCGCTAGAGTTCGCTACAAAGAACGGGGCGCTTCTTTCGAGGGTTGAACACTCAAAACGTGGTCCAAGGAGTTCTGCATCTCGACGACAGCCTCTGCATTAAACCAGTTGATCATCTTGCCTAGTTCTGCCATGTCGTTTCATGTTCCCTGCAGGCGCTGGCCTTACACCCGAAGTTTCCTCCTCTCGCCGAAATGCGGTGCCAACTGGTTGAGGACAGAAGATGGGTGCTATGAGAGGCGTTCTCGGTCAAGCCAACTATGGCTGGTGGGCATGGTCGCATGCAGTCGGGACGCTCACTTCGACGCGCTACTCACGCATGTCGTGCCCCAGAGAGAGCTCCAGCCACGGCGCCTGTAAGCACGGTCGCTTGCAGTCTGCGCGCTCACTTCGACGAACCACTCGCGAGCGCCGTGCCCCAGGACGATCTCCAGCCGCGACCGCGGAGACGGTCGCAAGCACACGGCGCGCTCCTTTCACATCACTCTTCACACGGCTCGCGCCCCGCAGACCCAGTGGGCACGGCCGCATGCCATCCGCGCGCTCATGTCGGCACAAGTATCACCATTTTGAAGGGGCCCCAGGACACACAAATAAATACACACAAATAAAAAGATTCCCCATATTTTCCCATATTTTCCGGGGGGGGTGTCTCCCCCCCCACTTCCAATATTTTCCCATATTTTCCTGGGAATCGATGATGAATTGTGTCTGTGTGTTTTTTCCCCTCTCACCATGTCGCGCCCCAGATGGCGCCCCAGCTGCGGCCACAGTTGGACACGTTCACGAGCAGCCGGCGCGAACCGCCGGCACACTTCTGCGGGACGGGGAAATGACCACAGCCACTGCTTCTTGTCTGCGCCGCCTTCCAGCCGGCCGAAAAAGGAGCAGTGGTTGTGGCCATTTCCCTGGTGCCAAGCTCAACGAAAATGACCACAGCCACTGCTTTGTTTCTGCGGGCTGGAAGGCGGCAACAAAAGAAAAGCAGTGGCTGTGGTCGTTTTGACGCCCCGTAACTTCTCATACGACTCGTGCCCCATAGCGATCTTCAGCTACGGCCCCAGCAGGCGCGCCCGCAGGGTGTCGCCCGTGCAGCCCGACGAAGGGCCGCTGACCGGATCATTTCTCGGCGTAGCGCCGCCTATCCGACACCCACCCTGCTGCTGTTCGTTTGAAGCCAACGGCCGCACGCGATTGACACCCACATTTCGCGCCCTGGAGGTACATGCCAAAAAAACTATGTTTCTCAAAACATATGCCATGCGCTGCCAAGCGCGGTCCGCATCTGATCTGGATCTGCATCTCCTTCACGCGACCATGCTAAAAGTGACCACATGGAGCGCCCCAGAAACCCTGCATGCAAATTACGCGACCGAGGAATCCCACATACTTATATCACGGCTGGAGTGGTGATAGCTGAAGTGAAGCATGTGAGAATGATGTTGGTGGCCGTTGCCCCGCGATACCGTTGGTGACGCCAGTCAAGAGGAGAGGTGGAGAGGAGAAGCGCCGCGCCCGCCACACTTTGCTAGCCTGAAACGGATGGCGACCGCACCCCCAAGGCCCCCCCTGCGGCGTCGAGGAAGTGCAACGCCTGCCACACCAGCGAACCCCCTGTGGCGTCGAGGAAGTGACACGCCTGCCACGCTCTGCGGGCCCGAAACGGATAGCGACCGCACCCCCAGCGCACCCCCTTCGGCGTCGAGAAATTGCCACGCCTGCCGCGCTTTGCGAGCCCGAGGCGGATAGCGACCGCACCCCCAGCGCACCCCCTGTGGCGTCGAGAAAGTGCCACGCCTGCCACGCTTTGCGCGGCCGAAACAGATAGCGACCGCACCCCCAGCGCACCCCCTATGGCACCGAGAAAATGCCACGCCTGCCACACGTTGCGAGCCCGAAACGGATAGCGACCGCACCCTCAGCGCACCCCGTGGCGTCGAAGAAATGTCACGCTTGCCACGCTTCGCGAGGCCGAAACGGATAACGACCGCACCCCCAGCGCACCCCGTGAGGCATCGAGAAACTGCCACGCCTGCCACACGTTGCGAGCCCGAAACGGATATCGACCGCACCACCAGCGCACCCCCTGTGGCGTCCAGAAAGTGCCACGCCTGCCAGGCTTTGCGGCAGTGTCGTGGATAGCGGCCGCGCTGAGAGACCACCCCCTGCGCACCC